CCACCATCATCATCATCACTATTACCACCACCACCATCATCACTATATCATTACCATCATCAACACCACCACCACCATCACCATTATCATCATTGTCACTCCACCATCATCATCATCATTATCACCACCACTATCATCATCATCACCATCATCACCATCACTGTTACAACCACCATCACCATCATCACTATATCATCACCATCATCATCACCATCATCATCATCACTACCACCATCACCATTACCACCACCATCACCATCATTACCACCATCACCATCATCACTGTATCATCAACATCATCACTATATCATTACCATTATCATCACCACCACCACCATCATCACCATTATCATCATTGTCACTCCACCATCATCATCATCATCATTATCACCATCACTATCATCATCATCACCATCATCATCACTATCATCATCATCACTATCATCATCACCACCTTTATCACCATCATCATCACTACCATCACCACCACCATCACCATCATTACCACCATCACCATCATCACTATATCATCAACATCATCATCACCACCATCATCACTATCATCATCATCACTACCACCATCACCATCATTACTTTATCATCACCATCATCACCACCATCATCATCACCACCACCACCGTGGGTCAGAGGGTGAAGGGGAAGAGAGGAAAGGAGCCCAAGGCACTATTAGTCAGAGAGACAAGGATCATTTCATTCCAAGCAGAACGAACGGAACCCCATCACTGTTGCTAACCAGGGATGCAGCAGTCAGAGAAGGGAAAGGCTACCTCTTCGTGGATAAGGATTCTGATGCCCCAGTCATCTGGCCAAGTACCACATGGCTGAGGTCGGGGCACTGGTTAACCTTGGGGGCATATTGCTCGTGTGAGATTTGGTTTTAGAGGAAGGATCCCACTGCTAAGCTACAACATAAAAGGCCCCTGCCTGGAGGGCAGTGGGGCTATGACCCTGAGGCTGGGAGAGGATCTCGTCAGAGAGGCCAGGCTGTGGGGCACAGGCCTGGTGTGGGCTGGAGCCCCAGCCAACACTCCGCCCGCTAAGGAGTGATGCTTTATCTCATTAAGAGGCGCCACACTTGGCCTCCCTGGAGAACTCGTTCTCCCTTCGTCACTCTTGCAGCCTTCTTTTCTTGGCAGTGAAGAAGCTTCTACCACGACCAGTTGCTCAGCCTCCACCAGCCCTGCCTGGGCTCCCGCAACCCTGCCCACTCACTGTACTGAATCACGAGTTGCCCAGCCTGCCTCTTGGGGGGCCAGCGTGTCTGTAGCTCAGTTCCATGACTCTCCCGGGAGGATAACCCCTTCCCCAAACCGTGCATCAAATGTTGGGAAGCAGTGTGTGTATACATGGGGCAGGGAGGCGGGGGGTTGCAGATCCAGGTTCTCAAAGGGGTCTGTGATTCTGAGGGGGCTAAGAAGCCCAGGACTGTACATGATCCTTGTCCTTTGAATTGACAAATTCCAGCACAGTTTCTAGGATGTCATTATGGATGGAGAGATATTCAGAAACCCCTCGAGAGCTTGTTCAAGCACAGAGAGCAGATCTCCACCCCTGGATCAGGCAGGACCCCAAAATTTGCAAGATTGAAATGGATTCAGCCTCCCACCATAGAAAGACAATGTATTCTCTTGGTGTGGAGTGAGGAGGGGGGAGGGGGAGAGGGGAGAGGGGCACAAGTCATGGTGACAGCGGCCGCCGCCAGCCTCCCACGGCCTCTCCCCACGTGTCTCCTTTGTGTCCCCCTTCCCAGCCGCTGCTGAGAAGCAGGCAAGCCCTCCTTGACGTGGGGGCAGCACACGCCTCCTTCCTACAGGCCTTCCTGCTGCTCATCCCCACCCGTCCTGAGGAGGAGCAGGCACGTGGGCTTCCCACCCCTTTCATGGAAATTGTGCACTACAGCAATTTGTGTAGAGACTGAGTTATACTTTCTCGTGCTGTGGAAGCACAGACTCGGGCCAAGTCCATCATGTGTGTCCTGGAGAACCGAAAACAGAATTCGCAGGGGCTCACGCCACGGTGGTTCTGAAGGCCTGGGGGTGTCTCCGTCCACAGCCATTGGCGCAGCTGCATCATTTTGGACTCAGAATCTTTCTGACTTACTTTTTTGAAGTAATTGTCTTCCTCCACTTACCCCCTCAGACCTGGTACCCTTCCACCATCCCTTTCCCTCTGAACCCCAGAAGCCTCCCTTTATTGGAGTCTGCTAGCTGTAACAGATATTTTGCTTTGTTGAACTGTCCACTGCGTAAACATGAGTATTTGTCTTCGTGAGTCTGACTTGCTTTACTGTACACCATTCCTTCCAACCCCTTCCATTTTGCTGGTAATGACCAGAATCTTTGTTTTGAAGAAAGAAAATCACTCACTCTTGGAAATGTCACAGAGGAGGGATTGAAACTTCAATCTGCATGTTGAGATGGCTCTAAAATCCAGGCCTTTCACTGCGCTCTTTTCTCTAAACCACAAGTGTGTGTGTGGTGTGTGTGTGTGGGGGGGGGGAGATGCTGAGGGGGTGCTGGCAGCTGCTAACGAGCCTGATTTTATCGCGCTATCAGTGTGGCATCCTGTCACCAGTGATGCTGAGGACACAAGTCCCCTGCCCTGGTGGGCTTCCTCTGCTCATGTAGCCTCTTTGAAAGCTTAGGAGAGCAGGACCACAACTGCTGTGACCAGCAGTTTAAAGAACTGCTGGTTATGTTGGTGACCCCCAGTTTAGAGGCTCCAGATGGGTGACCTCCCCCAGGCCCAGCGTGAGTCTCCCAAGCCCTCTCTTGTGTGATTTCTTCTTGTATCTTCGTTTTCTATCTTTATCTTCCTCCTTATGTTTCTCCCTCCTCTGCATCACCTCTCGCCCTCCCCCCAGGTGTCTGTCACTTCTGTCTCTCCCTGCTCCCTCTCCTTGTTCTCTTTCCCTGCCTCGCCTCACCCATCTCCATCATTAGCCTGCCTCTCCCTCGGAGTTCCTACCTTTGCTTCCTGTAAAGGCCAGGGCGGAGGAGAGGCTTGGGCCAGCTGTTGCGTTTGAAGCAGGAACTTTTTGCCTTGACCTGAGGAATCAGAGGAGCTGCTGTCACTGCACCCTCTGTGGCCCCGTCCTGTGCTCCCTGAAGCTGCTGCAGGCCTCTGGTCACTCAGGACTCAGGGGTAGTTTCACTGAGCACACCCCACCTCCGTACAGTCCTTGGGGGACGGGTCATTCTCTCGTGGAACCTTCCCTGTTGTCGAAATCAACCTGAACTTCCTTGTTAACGCCCATGGTCTGTCGCTGACAGAGTTGGCTTATAGACTGCACACACTTCCTGTGGTTGAGCTTTGGTGAGTGCAGACAGTAAAGGACGCCCTGGAGAGGAGAGTTCTGACAGAAGACTGTGTTCTACTCCAACCTGCCAGGGACTTGCCGGGTGGCTTCAAGCCCTTAGCTCAATTTGTGATCTTTAGTTTCCACACCTCCCTCATAGTGGTGTTCAGTGATGTTGACAGATAAACTGAGCCATTGCAAGCGCTTTAAGCCGTTCCCTGAACAAACATCTATTCTGATCAGGCAGCCAAACTAGCAGTGGTGAGGCTCGCTCCCCGAAAGGAGCTAGAGGCCATACTTAGAGAAACGGGGAAGCAAAGATAGGAAATAATTTGCTGTCTCTAGCCTAAAGCTTCGTTGGCAGTTTGCGATTAGTTGTCCTTAGCAGTTTGTGTGTGTGCGTGTTTAATTTCATAACCTTGAGGCATTCACCGGCTTAGATTTTGGCTCCGTGGTGCAGGCTGCCAGGACCGTTCAGACCTCTCCTTGTTTAATTAATGCACAGTGGGTTAACTGTGGTCATCTGTGTGAAAACACCTTGCAGGTTCCTGGTGGCCCACAAAAGCGAGTTGATCAAAACATCCGCAGCATTGCATGCTGTCACTGCTCCAAGCCACCTTCAGGGAAAAGGAATAATTCATCTTTCCCAGGCAAAGGGCCCAGAACCTCACTGTCCTCGGGCCAGAGCCTCACTCATGGGTTCTGGATCTGGCCACCTGCTGCTACAAATGCAAACAAAAGGAACTTTAGTGCAGCAAAAGAAAAAAAAAAAACACCGAATTTTAAAAAGGGTGGTGGGAGAAGAACAGCAGGTACCTGCCAGTGGTGCCAAGTGCAATCACAGCTGCAGGCATGGGCGGGGGGCCGGAGCCCACCCCCCAAGGCCAGGGCTCCCGACACCGAAGCGGGGAAGGGGCAAAGAGCTGCTGGCAGGCAGGACAGCTGCCTTCTGCAGTAGCTCCCCTGAGGAAAGGACACCCGAGCCCATTGCTTGCTGTTCCGACTCCCAGAGATGGCTGCCCTTCCCCAGGCGCTTCCTCAGAACCTCCGGGCGGATTGTGGCCTGGCACTGCACAGGCAACGCACAGGCCTCCACGGCCCCTTTGGCTTGGGCTTTATCCAGACATCAGGGGGTGAAATCTGACCCCTCACCATGGTCTGTGCCCAGCCCAGGGGAACCCGCTCCAGCACATCTAGCTAACAAAAACGATGCTGGGTGTGCTATGTAGGCAAAACCTTCTGGCGAGTGTTTCCTAGTTTTCATTTATCAAACTCTGAGGCACTGCAAGTTCAGTCAACTAGACAAGAAACATCATATAATATATTGGACATGGTGTCTCATGTCTCAGTCCAGAGGCAGGAAACACATCAGTTAATTGAACATGGGAAAATAGTAGAGTCATTAAGCTGGTAACTGTTGGGGTAAAGATAAGTCTAAAGCAGCTGCCATGGGCAGTTCCAGCTGGTCCCCGCCCCCCCGGGCTTAAATCACTGCTGAGCTTGCAGCCCTTGGATGTCTTCCTTTGCAGACTTCTATCTCGTTTCCAATTCATCTCCATTGTACAACTTACAGATGCTCTTGCTAAAAAAAAAATATGTAGCCGAATGCATAGTGTTCTTTAATCTTAAGGAGCTGCATTCATGGGTCAGAGGATTCAGCTGCTTCTCTCTGCACTTTCAGGCCAAGCCAAAGCTGATCGAACCCCTGGATTACGAAAATGTCATCGTTCAGAAGAAGACACAGATCCTCAATGACGGCCTAAGGGAGATGCTGCTCTTCCCCTACGATGACTTTCAGGTAGGTCGTTCTCCGCTGCCGGCAGCAGGAGCAGGTGGCCGATCTTTGCAAGTGTCGCTTCTGTCTGGTGACTTCTTGTGTGGCTGGTTAATATAGAATTTTTAAAAGATGAAAAGATGATCTAGTTCAGAGCGGAAAGTTATGTCGTTATTTTCTTCCAGCTATTTCTTCATGATTTAATTATCTTTTAGTGGCATTTTTGCAGATGTGGACATGCAACTTCTGCATTAGCATGTACCGTATAAACATAGCAAACATTTTTTTCAAGTGTATGTCTTGAAGAAAAGTGCTATGTTCTGAGCTGATAGTGTGGACACAGTACCTCGTATATCCTAGGAGATTAGTTTGAAGTCATTTGGGGGTTTTGCTGACTACGTTAGAGCTTAAGGATGGAATTGCTGGGAAGAGAGGAGGATTTTGTCACACATCCTGGGAGACTGATGGCAGAGGCCCTGTGCTCATGTGGGCTCCCAGAGAAGAGGGTGGGGATCCTCGGGCATGTTCCAGGGTCTCCCAGTGACAGGAGCCGCTTGGATTCAGTAGCTGCCCACAGAGGCCTTGCTCTGCGCAGCTCCCACCGTAAGTGACCCACTCTGAGAGAAACCTGCTCGAAGCCTTTCCCTCTGCGGCCTGTCACTCAGGGGCCGGCGGGAGCTGTGATGCCCTCAAGGAGCGAGAACCCAGCAGTCTTGGGTGCCTGGCAACCTATGGTCACCCCAGTGTATTCAGAGGTCCTGGTCACTTCCCTCACTCTCCTGGGCCTCCCTTCTTCCCCCCAATGCTGTTTCCTGCCAAGCTCTGTCTTCTGCGAATTGCAATTGGGATGCCTTGTTTTTGTCTTTGCAAAGCTTCATGAATTCTTTGTTGTTTTATTTAAAACCAAGGACCATTTGTGAGACAATAGGCACTAGTGACATACTTGACATTCTTTCTAACCCTGCTCCCCAGAACTTCACCTGCTATCTATAGATCTTCGCCTGCTGAATTGTCTTTGGAAACTTCCATGTGAACAACTGTTGGGTTCTATTCCATGAGGTTTTTGTCTTTTTGTCCCCCCATCAAATTTAAACTACTCAGGTTTACAGCAGAGGTAAACATTTTCCCAAATGTTGCTTTAGCTAGTTAGGGACACACTGGAGAAAGTGATTGTTCTTCTTTCTGGAAAAATAAGGAAGGCCTTGACAGATGCCATTGACCTTCAGTGTGATGTTGCTGCCAAAGTATGTCCTACTGATAAATGGTTTGAGATTAGGCCGAAAAAAGGAATGTTTTGGAAACATTAGTACCTGAGCAGACCACCCAGCTACAAGACAAATAAACAGAAACCTTAGAATGATGACTTGGGCCTGTGATTTTGTTGACAAATTTATGAGCAGAACTTCAATCAAATGATTGCAGATTATACTCCGTGTTGACATTTTTTCTGTAGTGTTCTCTGAGGAAGTGAAAGGTTATCTCAAGTTTCTGTGAACATGCTGTATTTTCCTTGTGGTAATTATGGTAACACCATTATTTAGAGTTTTGCAGCTCACCAAAGAAACCGGATACAGTGAATTTTAGTCTCATCTTTTATTCCAGGGACAAAGAACCTGGAATTAAGCACTGTAGATTCAGGTGGTTGAAGGTTTTTGAAAAACGCCTTTGTCCCTTTCCTGTTATTCCTTCTCTGGGGACACTGGGTACAAGTAGTCTAGGAAAGGCAGAGAACTCTCCCCCGCACTGTGCCTGCAGCCCCATGTGGGAGTGAGGGAGTGAGCAAGCAAGCATTACGTTCTGCTTGGGGAAGTTTCCCAGATTCCGGAACTGGCTCGTGAGCTCTGACGTCCATCATGGTTGTTGAGACGGGTCCTATTAAGTTGGCTGCTGTCATTTCTTTTCTTGGGGATTTTTGTACTTTTACTGCGATTTCTTGGTGATTTTAATAACTGTCTTGTTAGCTGAATGTGTGAAATATCTTAGCGATGCCACAGATTCCTTCTGTCTGTCCTTTTTTAAAGCAGAATAGAGCATAAATCTGATAGTATTTTTAGAGGCAGAGGGAGCACATTAGTTCAGGAGAAAGTATTTGATTTCCTGTGGAGAAAATATAGCAACTCACTTAGGAAATGGTCACTGTTTGTCACACTGATATTGAACACAGCGTGTCACGCTAAGGGTTGATTTGCAGTCTTCTATAGTCGTTCAAAGAGGTTAACTCTTAACACAGTAGAAAAAGATCATGCTTAGTGAAATAAGCCAGAAAGAAGAAGAAAAATACTGGATGGTTTCACACATAGCAGTTTTATAGGACACCTCAATTCTGTTAGATAACAAAACCTGTTATAGGACAAAATCTGTTATATGACAGAGGAGAGAGGGGCACCCCTAAGCCCCAAAACCTGCCTGCTCTAAGTGGATTCTGCCATCCGCTGCAACAAGACAAAACATATAAACCTTAAATGAAAAGGGACTTTAATACAGTGAATATACAATATGGAACACAAAGAATGTAACTTCTAAGTCAAACACCTGAAGTTACCCATCCCCTCATGGGCAAAAGTCCCCCCAAAAGGGACTGGCCCAAAGCAAGGCCTGAAAGCTGCCACTAGACTAAAGCACCTCTGGCCGGGACCCATGGAAAAGGGTCAGAAATGGCCAGACAAGTCTGGGAGGAAAAGAGCAAAGTCAAAATCAATTTAAACACTGCCAGAGTCACCTCCCTACAGGTATCTCACCCACATCTGCCTTGACCAGTCCAGGGCCAGGAAACAAGCCCGGTTTCTTCATCACATGCTTGTTGCTCCATGTGGCTTCCTTAGGTCTCCGTCTTGTTCTCCATCCAGCTCCATTTCCTTTTCTTCTCTCCTTTTTCTCTGCTCAGCTCCACCCTCCTTCTGGGTGGGGCAGGGAACCTGAAACTTCCCTTTTTCCTAGGGACCCCCTGTTACAGCAGGAGTGTAAGGGGATCAGGGGGGAAAAATATATATGTGTGTGTATATAGTAATTGTAGTAAAGTAAAAAAGAACAGCGACTAGCAACTATGAGCCAGAGACATTCTACGGTGGTGGGGCGCATGGGGGACAAGATCAAAACTGGGGCGGGAAGAGCACACGGGACTATGGTGATGGCACACAGGTGAAGTGGTGGTGGGAAGCCCACGGGATTACAAATGAGATGAAAAAATGTACAAAATGAAGAATGATGAAAAAAATATATAAAATAATATAAAAAAAGTGTGTGAAATACTCAGAATGATAACTGCCTAAAATGTAGTGATGATACCTTCGTACAAGTAGACACAGTGTTTGTCCTCAGCTCTGAGAACCGCTAAGCTTCTCTGAAAACGAGTTTTGCAGGAGAAAAGCTTTGTCTGTCGAATGTTTTAAGTGTGGAAGAAGAGCATTTAACATACAACCTGAAATGAATGTGGATTTTAAGGAGACAGAAGGCCAGTTCTCAGCCCTGAGAACATTTGTGAAGTTGTTTTAGCTGTGTGATCAGGGGGCAGGAAGGCTGTGTCTAATCCTAACCTCACTGGACAACCGAACTTTATTTTGTTGTTTTTCAGAATTGGACCCATTGCTTTGGGATCTGTTCTGTTCTGTCTCTGTCTTGGCTCGTTCCGAGTAATATCATGCTACAATCTCTTTCATCTTCTAGAACCTCCTCCCCCTTCCAAGGCCACTTCGGATGCCATGTGTTCTAAAGCTGTTCAAGTCCATGGTGACTTCCCCTTCTCTTAATCCCTCCAGTGCGTATCTCTCAATCTTCTCCTAGTCCCTCCAATGTCTATGTTCCTACATAAGTTTGTTTTCACTACTGTATGCTCTTCACTACTGTCTTCTTACACTTTTTGTGTTGTAGTGTCAACCCGGTGCCGTGAGCTGGGGAGGCCTCAGGTGGTGTCCTTCTCTCCTCCCACCTGCTCACCTACCTCAACATCCACAGAGTCTGCATTAGGGTTGGGTAGTTTAAACAAATCAACTTTTATTGACTTGCCAGTTGTTTATATGAGTGTATAATTTTGGAGGTTCAGCTGCCCACCTGGGGGGAGCACACACTTCTCTCCGCCCTAACCCCCACTCCAGGCTTCCACATAGCACCCCCTGCCGTACTCACCACCCCCTATGGTCACCACCATATTTTCACAGGGTCTCATTATTTCTGTTGTTTGGTCAGTTGGTTTTCTTTGGTTATTTATAGTCTATAAACGAGTGATACCATTCAGTAACTTTCACTTTCTGACTGACTTGACTTAGCGTCATCCCTTAAGGTCCACCTCTGTTCTTGGGAAAGGCACAACTGTGTCTGGTTAAATGACTCAGTGGTATTTCCATCGAGGGTCTATGCCGCACTGTTTTTATCCAGTGCACTGCCAGTGGACATATGTGGATAATGGCCTTTGTGAATCACCTGGTCCTGAATATTTATGAGCGCATCAATCTTTTTGTATTAGTGTCTGCTTATTTTGCAGATAAATACCAAGGGCTGGGTACCACTGACTTAATACCTGCATGCATAGTTTTCTGTGACTCAGAAAACAAAGAGGAATGTCATTGCGCACACGTGGACGTGCCAGTGACAGGTTTGTAAAAATTCTCGCTGGATTGCTGTTTTGCTTTGGTAGAAATTGGGTAATTTCTGTGATTAAGAAATGAGAGCAAAACAGAGTCATAAAGGTCATGTCCTGATAGCTAACAGACCTTTACTGCACTTTAGCTTTTGTGTCAAGACATAAGTCTAAGAACTTCCTTTTCCTTGGGTAGTAGGTAAATGCTAACTGGCAATTAGACAGAGGTGATCAGCTTTATTGTTAAAATGTCTGATATCAAGAGCTACAGGTTGAGTTGTCATTGAAGAAATGACAAATGTGTGCTAAAAGTAAAGCCTGAGCATCCTCTCTTTTCTGTCAGAGACACAGGATTTGATGTTGGTCTGGTCACTGATTTTCTTCAAGTGGATTCCTGCAGATGGTTCTGCTGGTGGTGATACTTGTAACGGTTGACATCAGCAGCTGCCTC